CTTTTATATGGAAAAAATAATTTCATAAACCTTCTAATTCATCAGTTTTGAATATCTGGATCTTTTTATAACTGATCTATTTAAAACAAGTAGCACCTATACACCTAAAAAACACTTGCTTTACTGAAGAAATATTTCTCAGATTTATAAATTTAAAAAGAACAGTGAGAAAATAACCTCTTAAAATTTTGATAAACTTTTAAAATTTGCATACTTACAATATATAATTTTAAAGAACCTCTCTCTACATAATTTTGTAATTAACCAATCTTATTATTTTATATTGAAATTCCTATTCCATGCCTGCCTATTGCTAAACTGAAAACAAGTATGAGTGGGTTTCTATTTTTTCTTAAGATTTTATTTATTTATTTGACAGAGAGAGACACAGCGAGAGAGGGAACACAAGCAGGGGGAGTGGGAGAGGGAGAAGCAGGCTTCCCGCAGAGCAGGGAACCCGATGCGGGGCTCGATTCCAGGACCCAGGGATCATGACCTGAGCCGAAGGCAGACGCTTAACGACTGAGCCACCCAGGCGCCCGAGTGGGTTACTTTTTAAATAAACCCAGCCTGATATTTTGAATTATGAGAGGACAAACTGTTTAATTGTTTTGTAATACTGAACATGCAAATCAAAATATAACTTAGAAAAAAGTGCAAATTAGGGGCACCTGGGTGGCTCAGTTGGTTAAGAGTCTGCCTTCAGTTCAGGTCATGATCCCAGAGTCCTGGGATGGAGCCACACGTTGGGCTCCCTGCTCAGTGGGGAGCCTGCCTCTCCCTCTCTCCCTCTGTCCCTCCCCCTGCTCATGCTTTCCCTCCATCTCTCTCTTTCTCTTTCTCTCTCAAATAAATAAGTAAAACCTTTAAATAGTACAAATAAAAATAAATCTTCACAAAGAAACCTCTTGAACTTCTATACCAAGAGACCATTTTGTTTCTACATCAAGCATTTAACAGTTGAAGTTATTTTAATAAATACATAAACTTGATATCTTCATATATGAACGATGACCACTGACCCAAGGATAATTTTGAATTATTTTTTCTCCAGCAGGTGATACATACTTAGTACATTTTTACTCAGATGGTAAATGAAAAATTACTGCCTCAGTGGCTGAGGCTGCTTTATCCCCACATTCCCTTGACAGATTTCCTTCGGTGACCAAGGATTTATATTTTCATGACAGCTCTTAGGAAGTTAGGTAAAACAATTTTGGGCCTATGAAGATGAGTTTGGTGTGTGTGTATGTGAACTAACATGCCCACAAGAAAGTCAAACCTGTGACTGACTTCTTTAGCATTTTTCTCTCAGCTACTATTTCTCAAAGCATAATCCCTGGAAGGCATACAACAGAGTTACCTGGACAAAATGGCAAGTTCCCATTCTTACTGATGTACTGAATCAGAATCCGGAGGAGAGAGATGGAACCTGTATTTAACGAGCCTCATCTTTATCCTACCTGGGTTCTTCCACATGATTCTGATGTGCATTAAAGTTTGAAAACCTCTGGGAGGTAGAGTTGAGGTAAAAAATGCGTAGTTCAACTACACTAAAAGTTTAGGGAAAGTGAGTTAACACCTTATAAAACACCCAAAGGAAACCTCAGCCGCAGCAACTTCTTCCTAGAAACATCGCCAAAGGCAAGGGAAGCAAGGGCAAAAATGAACTATTGGGACTTCATCAAGATAAAAAGTTTTTGCACAGCAAAGGATACAGTCAACAAAACCAAAAGACAACCAACAGAATGGGAGAAGGTATTTGCAGATGACGTATCAGATAAAGGGCTAGTATCCAAAATCTATAAAGGACTTATCAAACCCAACACTCAAAGAACAACTAATCCAATGAAGAAATGGGCAGAAGACATGAACAGACATTTCTGCAAAGAAGACATCCAAATGGCCAACAGACACATGAAAAAGTGCTTAATATCACTCGGCATTAGGGAAATCAAAATCAAAATCTCAATGAGATACCACCTCATACCAGTCAGAATGGCTAAAATTAACAAGTCAGGAAACAACAGATGTTGGTGAGGACATGGAGAAAGGGGAACCCTCCTACACTGTTGGTGGGAATGCAAGTTGGTGCAGCGACTCTGGAAAACAGTATGGAGGTTCCTCAAGAAGTTGAAAATAGAGCTACACTACGACCCAGCAATTGCACTACTGGGTATTTACCACAAAGATACAAATGTAATGATCCGAAGGGGTACGTGCACCCCAATGTTTATAGCAGCAATGTCCACAATAGCCAAACTATGGAAAGAGCCAAGATGTCCTTCAACAGATGAATGGATAAAGAAGAGGTGGTATATATATACAATGGAATATTATGCAGCCATAAAAAAAAGAAATCTTGCCATTTGCAATGACATGGATGGAACTAGAGGGTATTAGGCTAAGCAAAATAAGTCAATCAGGGAAAGACAAGTATCATATGATCTCACTGATATGAGGAATTCTTAATCTCAGGAAACAAACGGAGGGTTGCTGGAGTGGTGGGGGGTTGGAGGGATGGGGAGGCTGGGTGATAGACATTGGGGAGGGTATGTACTATGGTGAGTGCTAATGAAGGGGGGAAAATTGGAGGGGGAGACAAACCATGAGAGACTATGGACTCTGAGAAACAAACTGAGGGTTTTAGAGGTGAAGGGGTTGGGGAGATGGGTTAGCCCAGTGATGGGTATTAAGGAGGGCACGTATTGCATGGAGCACAGGGTGTTATACACAAACAATGAATCATGGAACACTACATAAAAAAATAAATTAATTAATTTTAAAAAAATACCAAAAAGAAGTAGCTCTAGCTCTGTTTTTCCAGAATCTAAAAATAAACTAAAAAAGTAAATGTACTGTCACCATAACCCATTAGGTGGGAGCATAAAAGAGGTTTGGTATTAACTCTATTCTGGTCCAACTTAAAACCCAAGCCAAATACTATAATGCTACAAATTCTAGCAAATAATTCCTAATGGAGGTGTTCTGCAAACAACTGTTAAGGATTGTGTGATTGTGGTCAAAGTGATGATACTGCAAGGATTTGTGCATGGTCAGGTCACTTTTTTTTTTTTTTTTTTTAAGATTTTTATTTATTTATTTGACAGAGAGAGAGATAGCGAGAGCAGGAACACAAGCAGGGGGAGTGGGAGAGGGAGAAGCAGGCTTCCCGCTGAGCAGGGAGCCCGATGCGGGACTCGATCCCAGGACCCTGGGATCATGACCCGAGCTGAAGGCAGACGCTTAACGACTGAGCCACCCAGGCGCCCCTGGTCAGGTCACTTATTAATGGTGTATAACTGCCTGATTGACTCTTCTCCTTGAATGAGACAGGAAGTCTAGTTGAGGAAATCAGAAATAAACCAAAAGCAGATCTTTCCTATTTGGGTTTGGCCCAATAGGGTAGTTATTGTGAAAGCTCATAGAGGAAAGGACGTGCAATACTAATTAAAAGAATAATTCAAACCTCCACAGAAGTTACTCTACAAATTCAGACTAAATAGAACTGTCATGTATTAGGACAGAAAATGAACTAAAGTATATGTATATTAGTTTCTAATAAAATATTTTTTTAGAAATATGTATTTATTTGAGAGAGTGAGAGAGAGAGAGAGAGATGGACAGAAGAGTGTACAGCAGGGAGGGGCAGAGGAAGGGGGAGAGAGAAACTTAAGCAGACTCTGTGCTCAGCACAGAGCCTGATGCGAGGCTCCATCTTACAACCCTGAGATCATGACCTGAGCTGAAACCAAGAGTTGGATTCTTAACCGACTGTGCCAGCCAGGTACCCCTCTAATAAAATATTTTTTATTCCTCTTCAGAATTTTGAAAAAGACAAACTGCTGGCTTTTAGGGATCAAAAACTTAATTAAATACGTGTTACACCAATCAACTTACTCAGCAAGTGTCATTATTAATAGACTGATTTTAACACTACCCCAAAAAGGTCAGCTAAACATATGCAAAAATAACATAGAAGGAAATTTGTATTCCTAGTTAGTGTGAATATGTTATAATTAACCAACTAGTTGATGTCAACATTACATAGTTAAACAGGTAATGCCCAAAAGCATCAGTCATAAGTTAATTAATGCAATTATAATTACAATTGTCTGGATAATGTCGAATTTTACTATGGCTCAGATTTTATCCACAATACAAATGTGTGTGTGAACACTTAAACACACACACACACACACACACACACACACACCCCACATACATCTAAAACATATATAAGAAGGAAAAAATTAGGCAAGGTTTGCTCAGGAACAATAACAAGTAGACTTTTGTCATGAAGTTTCTTAGGGTCCATCACACCCATCATCAGGGATAACTTTTATGGTATTAGGTTCTGTCATATGTCTCTGAAAACTACTTTCTAACATTCTCCACCAGATAAGAATATCCTGAGTTCCTCTCTTTCATTTGCTATGAGTAGAATTACTAGTTTATATTTTACTTGTACTTCAGATTTAAAGTACACACATACACACTATTTGTTTGGATTTGTTCCATTTAAGAATCACTAGAAGCACACAATAACATCAGTCATTTATGTGCAATTTTTTATAAATGATATTCTGGATGCAGTCCAAGAGGATGTCATTCCAAAAGCCCACTAGAATCTCATTCTAAGGCAGGCATTACCTACAAGGAGATTCTACATATGGGTTAAGTCAACATTCTAAAGTGGTTCCAGTATATCTTTTCTGAGATGCTTAGTAAGAGCCAATGATATCTTGAAGAGTTAAGAACCCTTCATAAAGGCAGAAAACAGATATGCAGCAATTGGGCCCATGTGCCCTAAATCAATTGTCCATATTCCACATATAGTTTATCAGTACAACTTATTAATAGTGAGCTTTCCAACCATCTGATTTGCAGCCAATTCTAAAGTCACTGCAAGTTCACTCTTTGTTTTGGAAACTCTTTCTTCCCATAACATGTTATACTTAAAATTTCATTTGCCATAATTTGGTAGAACCAATTCTTACCTGTAACTTTCAATTCAGTTGTTCGTCTTACAAGTTTTCCTTCATATTTAAGTTCACAAGTGTAATTTCCTCCATCTTCTTCTTGAACTTCTTGGATTAGAAGAGCATTTCCTTTCTGTATTATTATACTTCTCCACATTTTGGGCTTGCATTCCTACAGAGAAAATATTTTCAAGTAAGCAAAAAATTAAAATTCTCATCAAGTCAGTACTGGCAAGTTAGTACTTTCACTTTTTTGTGCTCTTCTCTTTAGTTTTCAAAATATATAACTAGAGTTAAGTCAATGACCAGAAAAAAATCACAAATGCATCTTAATGTACCTAATTTAAATATCACAACTATCAGCCCAAGAGCTACCTTAAAAGCCTGATCCCAAGCGCAGAAAGTCTTTAGAAATATTCTGCAAAAATGGAAAAGCATACAAACTCCCCAAAATGCAAAAGGGATACAGCAAAACCTTAAAAGTTGCTAAATATCATTATAAAGCCCTGTTGTTGTTGTTGTTGTTTTCTATTTGACAGGGATATTTCCTAAGAGTCCTAAGAGAACAGTGTTCATTTAACAACAAAGTATACTACAAGGGAGTCTTAGGCATTATTAAAAACTCATTTTCATTGGCCTCACAATCATTTATTCATTGCCTTAACTGACAGATTCAGCTTGGCTTTTACATTGGCAATGTAGTCTAAAATAATTTTATTAATTACTTCTTATAGTTAAAAATGAATGCTAATATTCCAGAGTCTCCCTCCCCATAGGCAAGAGATCCATTTGGGTGGGCAGGGGTGAGAGCAAGGGGTCAAGAAAATTAGGCTTAAGCAGTTCTCTAAAAACACAGCTAGGTAAAATAAGCACACATTTTGTTCTAGTAATGAAATGGAGAAATTATTCACTCATTTTCTGAGATAAGTGATATATGACCAGAGAATACGATTTGGGTTTGGAAGACAATTTTTCTACACTCCTGATGGGAATGTGAGGGAGTCTTGCTACTAAGATTGTACTTCTCTAGAAAGGAATGTTTAACCCTTTTCCAGAGAGTGACAAGGACATAGCAATAACCAAGTATGTAAGAATATTCAGCCAGGTGGCTTTGCCTTTTGGGAATTTTCTCAGACTACTTTTTAGATATGGTTCCAGTTTGTCTACCACTCATCTCAAATGTTCAACCAAAGTGGTGGCTAAAAGCTGTACAAACATCAAGAGGAGGTATAGGAGACAGCTGTGAGGGGGTGCTGAATAATCAAGGCAAAAATATTTTATCATCTAAATTCTGAATCTGTCAGTTAAGGCAATGAATAAATGATTGTGAGGCCAATGATGTAAATAATTGTTGAGAACTTTTCTCTTTTCCCACAATGGTATATACAACATCGCTTCTACCCCTCCTCCTCTTCACCCCCACTCCTGCCCTCCACACATACATCCTAAACATTCACCTAAAGGTAGAATCAGTGTTGACTCTCAATCCCCAGCTCTGCATACTTGTGTACATGTATGCACACGTGTGTGTGTGTGTGTAAAATGATTTGAAAGAACAAGTACCCATTTAGTAGTTTCTTACTGTAACAGATTTTTTTCTTTTATGATAGCAGTTTTGACAACAAAACACAAAAACTGGCACTTAAGTTCACAGGTATAATATTTAAGAGATATGCTTGCTTTATGTCCAATACAACTACCCACACACATTGTCAGAGAGTAAATAAAAGTAATACAATCTAGGGCATCTAGATATAAGGCTGTTTCACTCCCTAGGGTCTTTCCAAAGAACAGTTAAGGGTCTGTCTAAAATTATATTACATACCATGTCTGGCAAGGTTTATCACCTATATGAGATTTGCTTCTGAGTTAAACCTTGGGATATAAGGTTTCTGGGAAAATGAAGAAGAAAGTCTGAACAAAAAGAAAAAAAAAAATAGTCCAGCTGCCACTATCGTCATACAATAATAATCCACAATTATTTTCGCATTGCTTCGAACTCCGATAGCCTCAGATTTCTAAAGAATCATTCTGAAGGTTATTAAACAAAAATATGGTCCCTCTGGGCATTTTGAGAGGAAAGGAAAATGAAAACTGAGCTGCTTCACTTTCACATAGCAGTAGTGGGGGTGGGAAAATGAGCCCACACACTCATTGTATTTAAAGACAAATGACTTTGTTTTCTAATGTCATTTTTGGGGAAAGTCTATCTGCAATTAGCTCTAACCATTTTCATTTTTCCCTGCACACTGCTTTGATTTCTTTTTCCCCAGGAAGTAAAATCTAAAGAGTATATAGGAGTTAGAAAATAACCACTGATGAAGAACAGCCTGGAATCTTTACACATTCTTTGGGCTAGATTGAGATAGTCCCAAGTGCTTTCCAAGTTACCATCTAGCCTTATAAAAGATTATTTGTACCTAATAGAGTTTTGTGGGGTTTTTTAAACTGTGGCATAGGAAAATGTTATTGTCAGGTCATCTCCACCCTTATGGAGACAATGTAGTATAGATGAAAGGGTAAACTGCAGTCACAGCAAGACAGCTATAGGTCAAAATCTGGGGTTCACCCAAGTTCTGTGATCTTGGGCAAATTTGTTTAAGTTCTTTAGGTATCAGTTTCTTACTCTGCATATGAGGATAACATATACTACCATGTGAGCAGCCAGAGCCCAGAGGCTTGCAGTTTATTCATTACACTCTTGTTGGGCAGCACTATATATGGTGGTCACCCAGCACAGAGAATGTTTTCCATCCCTAAACTTTCACAATCTTGGATTATGTCTCCTCCAAACCCCTAGCTCTCTTTGGTGAAAACTGGTGCTAATGTACTAATCAGATGAAACCAAATCTTCCCTAATTGGTTAATCATCCCCAGGAACATAATACTTTAACCCATCGAAAATGTAGAACTCTTAAGAGGCCACTCCAACACTAATCCTAGCAGGTGGGTAAAGAAACTATATTTTTTTCAGAAGAGGATTAAAGATGACCATCCTGCCCCAACCAGCCCATCCTTTACAAAATTACCTCATCGGCTATCCCTTCACATATCTGTGTACCTATATCGAACCTCAGAAGACTTCCAGCCTTTTTACTCCACTATTTGCAGCATTTCTCCCTTAAACTGCTGGCTGCTAGGCCTACTACTGTCACTGCTTCTCTTATGTCCCCAATCTTCCTATGACCTCTTTCCTAGTGAACAGGCATCATTGCCATACTTCATTGCTCCATATCCATTTAATTTAATTTTGACGGCTTGTTAGGCAAAGAAATTTGAAACATGTAAATCAAGTCTCAAGATGGTTGTTTATCTGAGGCAAGGAAAAGCCATCAAAGCCTCAAATATGAGCAGGCCCTAATATTGGTACTTTAGGACCATTAAAATAAACTTCATCAACTTGAAGGTTTTGCTGAGGGACGGTCTTGCTGGAGGTACCTAAGTTCAACAAACAGCTCCAGTTCATAGTCTAGCTGATCCCTCATAGAGCAGTTTGTTGTACAACCTCCTTGTTCAATCAAAATAATATCAATCCTTAAAGCCCAGCTTCCTTCCCTCCCTGCCAGCCTTCCTGAGTGGCAGGTGTCACTTGCTAGTATTTACTAGGTTGGGAGCCCAGGATGTTCAATAGAAACATCTGTTGACCAAGTTTCTTGAAGTAACCTGTTGCTAGCCACGTTGGATGTTGGAATTTCCACCCTGAAATATTCACCACTATATTCACAGTACATTTCTGAGATATCATCATTATACAAACAGGTATTTTTGAATCAGTTTGATTTGTTGGTCATGGTTATTTCAGTGTTTTTCAGAGCATAGGACTCATTTCTCATGGCAAGAACACCAGGAAGATTTATTTAAATATTTATTCTGATTCTGAAGTTCAGACACAAAGTAGTTGTACAACCATAAGCCAATCATGTAATCTCTGGTCCTCAAGGTACTTTTGCTCAAATACCTAATACTCATGCACTCAGACCCAATTTCTCTCCTTTCCTCTGGAGACTGGACTATTTCATAGAGCATGTAGGCATTGGCCTAACAATCTGTAGGGGACCTGAACTTCCTTTAATTTAAAGATGGAAGACATAGGAGCACAATTGTAAATTAAGTATCAGGTTGGCCCTTTTCATCCTTACCTCTATTCCAAATTCACAGGATAACAAACTTCAGAAAGTCTTTTCCCTCTCTAGCTCTATTTCTCTAACTTTCTCTCTTCACAGTCCTAATGTCAAAGATGGTACCCCACAGTGGTTGAAGTATAAGTTCCAGACTCAAATACTTGGGTTGGAATCCCGAGTGGTATGTTCCTAAGCATGCCCCTTAATTGATCTAAGCCTCAGTTTTTTCACCTATTAAAAAAAGTGGTGATAATAATATTTACCAATATGGGCGATTATAAGGATTAAATGAGGTAATGTATATAAGTGTTCTGTAATATAGAACATCACATGCTAAAAACAATAAATATTAACTACTATTCTATTATTATTATCATTCTCATTACTCTGCTTTCAGATTACATACACATCTATTATGACATGTTAATGACTGTCAGGAATTAATGTGATTCACATTTCTACAGGGGTCTGGAGACAATCCAAAACACAATCCAAAGTTATAACTCATTTTTTTTTAAGATTTCATTTATTTATTTATTTTAGAGAGTACACGCACATGTATTGAGAGCAGGGGGAGGGACAGAGGGACAGGAAGGGAGAGGGAGAAAATCTCAAGCAGACTCTGTGCTGAGCACAGAGCCTAGCACAGGGCCTGATCCCATGACCCCAAGATCATGACCTAAGCCAAAACCAAGAGCCAGACGCTTAACCAACTGAGCCACCCAGGTACCCCCCAAAGTTATAATTCTAATGCAAGGGTTGACTTCCAGTTTCTGATTCAACATGCAAAGGTGAAAACTACTACCCCAGAAACTAGAGAGCCACATGAGTACAGAGAATCACAACTTACTGGGAGCTGAAGCAGACATAGGAGCCAGCAACTAGTAGGAACACTTAAAGGATAATTTACTAATTTCTGAAGACTATGAACTAGCTTCACATATAAAAACCCCTGGGGGCCCAGTCATGTAGAGAGCACACTTTTATAATGTTTACCTCCAGGAGCCCCACCAGGTTTTCAGCATGGAAACTGGAGAAAAATCCCCTTATG